ACCAATTTGGATCACTTGTTGTTCCCTTGTCCCTGGGTTTGTTCAAGGCTTCTGAAGTGGTCAGTCCTTACAGGAGCAGAAAGCCTCATCTTTCTTGCATGTAGTGGCTGGTGAGTTCAAACTGCTGATCTTGCAGTTAGCAGTTAGCAACCCAACACATAAACCACTAAGGCTTCTTTTTAGGGGAAACTAGAGACTTCAAGTTTAAATATAAGCCCTAGAGACCCATTTATGAAGCCTTGGACAGGAAAAAGTCAAAACCAAATCATCCAGATGAAGAAGACACTCAGCGTGAGGGCAGCATGGTGCCCAGGGATTCACAGCCACACAGCTGCTGAAGTAGGAAACGGAACACAAAGCAAACTGTCTCACGATTGAGTTGTGGCAGATCCGTTTATCCTAGTTGCAGGCAGGACTACAAAAACGGGGAAGGGACCATGGCTGGAATCCACACACTGTTGCAGATAAGAACAACTTACAAGGTTGGCTCCAGGTCCTCTGACAGCCCTGGTCAGGGTACAACTCATGACCATGGAGCTGGAGCCCCGAGAGCCCCAGTTCCCTCAAGGGCATGCCAAGCACGTTCTAGAGTGCGCCATCGTGAACAGGCCGAGGGAATCACAACATGCACAATTGGCTGACCTGGGGTAAACTTTTTTTTTTTTATAACTTTTTACATTGCTGGTCAGTGGTCAAAAATAATTCAACTGGAGGGTAAATCCTTGTGAAGACCCAGAAATGGATTTAGGGCTCCTTTTACACACCATACCCTTCTGCAAACCTAGAGCTTAGAATTTAAACTCTAATACGTCTTTCAAAATGTTTTATTGAGATATAACCTATGCAGTAGTGAATGCAAACCTAAATTTTATATGTTGAAGGGTTTTGACATCTCCATATACGTGTATACTCGCATTTATCACTCAATTCAAGATAAAAACATTTCTAGCACCCAGAAGACTCCCTTGAACTCCTTCCCAGACTACATCTACTGCCTGCCCCCTACACACACACACACACACACACATGCAAAGGTGATCACTGTTCTGATTTCTGTCCCTACGGATGACTTTGCCTGGTCCCGAACTTCATATAACATGAATCATACAGTATGTGCTATTTATGTGTGGCTTCTTTTGATCAAGTGAATGTCCATTTATTTATTTTTTGCTGTAAGCATCGCCATTTTTTGTCCTTTAAAAAAAAAAATAAAACAATTTGAGGCTATATAAAAACTTTTGTAAATAAAAAAGTATCTTTGAGAGTCCACAGGTCTTTATTATAAACTATTGCTGTATTGTTGGCACTCTTCCCAACCCCCACCTCATCTCCCCCGAGGCCTGGGACTGGATCACCAGAGCAAGGGGTGGGTGGGGCTGTGGACTGTTGGGACAAAGTGGCCAAGGTCAAGTGAGGAAAGAGCATTCCACATGACAAAAATATTGCCCTTTCACCAACATGTCCCCCACTGAGTGTTTCAAAAGACATGATATTCCTTTTGTGTGTGTGTGTATTAATGTTTATTTTTAATATGGTATATAATAGAATGAATTATTTAGAAAGTTAAATAGAGCTATATTGTTTGGCATGAAAAGATGTCCTTCGAGCTCAAGTAGAAAGAAAATGTTTTGGAAATGTTAATGGCACCATAGATACAAGTGTGCTTGATACAATTGAGTGATGGATTGTTAAAAGATTTGTAAGAACCCCCCAATAAAATGATTAATTTTTTTAAAAAGAAAAAAAAAGTCCTTGATGGAGTATTGAATTTAAAAGTTTACAAGAGCCTGTTTTATATAAATGGACTCATTTATGAACACTTTTACATACATGATTGCTCTAGGGGAGAAAAGTGGCCACAAATTTACATATCATTTCCAGATACACAGTTATTAAATCTTAAACAGGACAAAGACAAATCATCCAGCCAAGGGAGGCCATCATCCAAAGATTAACAGAAATTCAGCCATTTGGTAGAAGAGGGAGAACCCAGGAAACTCACAAATCCATAACAAAGGATCAGTCCACGGCTGTAGGTGGGACTGCGGAAGTGGGAAAAGCCACTATTGCTGCTAAAAACTCACAGGATTGGTTCAGGGTCCTCTGGCCAAGCTAGTTAGGGTATGACTCGTGACTATGAAATCCCAGCACCCACTTTCCATCAAGAGCATACCCTGGCTGGCTAAGGGAGTCATCGTTACTTTCAAACACTCTACCGAGCCAGGCAAAGTTTTTCCTGTTGCAGGTCACTGGTCAGAAAGATGGAGGCTGACCGTATGTGGAAACTCAAAGTTGGAGTTAGGGCTTCCACTATAAACCACATTATTGTTGTTGTTAGGGGCCATCAGCCTAACAAAACACCCCCTGGTCCCGCACCATCCTCACCATTGTTAGGTCTGAGCCCGCTGCTGCAGCCACAGTGCCCATTCATCTGGTCCAGGTCTTCCTTCCTTTTCAGTGCCCTTCTACTTGATCAAGCATGATGTCCTTCAGGGGCTGGTCTCTCCTGATACCATGTCCAAAGAACTTAAAAAGCTCTTTCACTTAGCCAGTAAAACCAAATAGTATAACAGTTAACAAAGAGAACTTTAGCTTCAAAGCCAGGAGCCCTGGAACTGCTGGGATTGACCCTCTTGTTTATGCCCTTGACACGGCAGGGCAGCTGTGAAATCCTGCGACTGATAGACCTTGGAAAATCCTTTTCCTACTATAAGTGGATCTGGCAGCATCTGGAATTCCAGTACAACAAACCTCTGAAGACCCCAGCCTTCGGTAAGCTGCAGGCCCATGCCTGGCCGCCGGCACATGGCTGGGTTATTCAGTCTCACCTCGTTTCCAGTTCCAAGGTAATCACAGAAATCTAGGGCTCGAAGGTCTTGGCAGAAAATAGGGTTTGATCTCCTCTACCAACTGTAGAAACCTAGAACCCAAGGCCCCGAGACGAGTCTCCTGCCCACCCCTCCAGCTTTGTCCTTCCGAACCTTTCCCCTCGGTTCTTCAGGAGTGAATAGGGACCTTCACCCCGTGTCTTGGGACTTTGCACTGATGCGCTCTCTATTTCAGATCAACAATAGAAATCTCCCTCACCTTCCATAATATAGCGCCATCCTCCGTCTCTCATTACACCAGGGAGTTTCAAAAAACTCTGTGGAGAATGTAAGGAAAAGAAAGTGGGGGAGCTGATACCCGGGGCTCAGTAGAAAGTAAATGGCTAGAAGAGAATGGTGTACAAATATGCTTGATACAATGAATGCATGGGTTGTTATAAGAGTTGTAAGAGCCCCAAATAAAACAATCTTTGAATTAAAAAAAAGTGGGAAAATTTCACAAACTTTTTGAAGTCGTCCCCTCCTTCTTTCTTCCCAGCACCCTGTTCTGTTGTCAGCTCTGACCCATGGCCACCCCGTGGGTGTCCGAGTAAACTTGTGCTCTGTTGGGCTTTTTGAGAAGTAGATCCCCAGGCCTTTCTCTGTGGGTTTGGGCCACTAGCCCCTGTTTGATTTTGTTTTTTAGCATTTGAGCATGTTAATTATGCTCACCATTCAGAGAAAACTGTGACATATAAGGCCATGAAATAATATAATTGAGTTTGAAAGGGCTAGTCTTGTGATCTGGGTGAAGATTCACCCCAGAGCGGATCAGTTTTACGTCCAACAATCCACATGCATTTTGTTTTCTCTCATTGACCGCACTTCCCACCACGAAAGGTCTCTTACCTCACTTCCTCCCAGGGCTCCCTGCATTCGTTCCTCCTCCTTTCCTAACCCTCTGAATTTTGGCCTGGGACCAGTGCTGCCCTTGCGATCTCCCAAGGTTCTCAGGGGCGCATACCTAACGAGTATTCATGTTCTCTATAAGCGTATCTCTTGTTTGGCTGAAAATTGAGGCATGAGGATGTTCATCTTCAAACCTGAAAGGCTTTAGTCTCAGGGTGCCACTAGTTTCTATTCTACCAGGAAGACTGGCTTTAAAAATATATATTTATGAAAAATATTATTTATGATTTTGAGGTTTTTTTTTTTAATGATTTTGAGTTTTGTTCCATATTTTCCCCCCACTCTATTCAGGACCTTCTATTGTGATCTCTCTCAGGGCATTTGGTAGTGGGAGTAGGCTACCATCTAGTTCTCTGGTCTCAGGTGGTAGTCAGCTGGTCCTTTAGTCCATTAGGCTAATTGTTTCCACTGTCTTTCAATTTTCATCACTCTGATGAGAGAGACCAACAGCTACACCTTAGATCAGTGGTTTTCAACCTTCCTAATGCCTCGATCCTTTCATATGGTTCCTCATGTTGTGGTGACCTCCGCCCCTCCACCAACCATAAAATTATTTTCGGTGCTACTTCATTACTGTAATTTTGCTACTGTTATGAATCGGGCAGCCCCTGTGAAAGGGTCGTTCGACCCCCCAAAGGGGTCACGACCCACAGGTTGAAAACTGCTGCCTTGTATGGCTTCTCATGAGTTTTTTTAACATCCCAGCTGCCGCACACCAAAGTAGGACAATGGAGCACCGTCCGTCCGCATGGATGATGCTATGCCGATCGACTCTGGTGACTTCCTGATCCTGCAGACCCAGCGACTCATTCCCTCTAAGGGCCTGGTTAAGTCCAAGAATTTGTCATGACCTTGCCACCAATATGTTCCGTTACATACGTGGATATGCTTGTAGGAAAGATAAGACCCATGTAAAATATCCTCTGCCAAGCTGGTATTACCCATCAAAGGTTGTTTCTTTTAGTGTGAAGCCCTTTGTCTCATACAGTATTTGTTGTTTTGTGATTGAAAATTCCACCCGGCATGATGTCCTCCAGGCTCATCCTGGTTAGGAGGAGTTTCGTAGATTCATCGTTAACTCTTCAACCTTGCGTGCTATTTCATCTTGTGCCTGTTTATCCATTCTCTCATGGATGGCATATTTAGGTTGTTCCCATGTTTTTGCCCTTGTAAACAGTACTGCCCCCAAATGGGGCTGAGTATATCTATGTCATGGCTCTTATTTCTCTAGACTAGTTGTTCTCAACCTGTGGGTCACGACCCCTTTGGGGGAATCGAGTGACCCTTTCACAGGGGTCGCCCGATTCATAACAGTAACAAAATTACAGTGATGAGGTACCAATGGAAATATAAGTTTATGGTTGGGGGGGTCACCCCAACATGAGGTATTAAATGGTGGCACCATTAGGAAAGTTGAGAACCACTGCTCTAGACTATCTGCTAAATAGAGGGATTGCTGTATCACATAGTATTTCTATTTTCAACTTTTTTTTACTGGTTTTACTACCACTTCATCCAAAGGTCATACAATCCAATGATTCAATCATATCAAGGAGAGTTCTACAATTGTCACCACATTCAATTAAACTCTAGAACATTTTCTATCGGAGCCTGCCGACAAGTCGAACGGTCCTGAAAGGGGGAGTGAGGATTAAGGAAAAAAAGAGAAACAGAAAGTATTGGGAGGGCAACAGTGAATACTGAAGCCCCGAGTTTATTCTACATCTTCCTTTTATACATGCAGAAATGACCCAGGGTTATAATTAGTCTATTATCACAATATATCAGAAACTCTATATTCTGCCAAGTCAAGGAGTCTTTGATTAAAATTAAACATTCTGTTTTCCCAGAACTTGCATACATCTTTGTTCTTTATCTTAGTCTCAATGTCAAACCGCAGACGCCAACAGCAGATACCGACACCTGGGTCGTGATATCTTCTCAGCCGTTTCAAGGCTGAGTCTTAAAGGCCTTCAAAAATTTTCTTCTTCTTTGTGGTCATTGTTATTCCTGCAATTAATTTTTTCCCCTAATTGTGGCACAAATATACATACCAGAACATTCTCCAATTCCTTAGCTTCTACTTGTATCACTCAGTGCCGTTGATGATACTCTTTGAGGCGTACAACCATTATTGGTATCCTTTTCCAATGTGTTCTACCACCAACTCTCTCACCTTCGCCTATGGGAACCATTGTCTGGTTTCTTTCTTTTTCTTCTTTCCCTCCTGGTTTTCTTGATACTGTATTAACATATCACACACTTCCATGGTTAAACTGCTTTTAAAATGAGTTGTATATACGTAATCACAATCAGTTCTAATGCTCCCTCCCTCCTCCTGCATTCATTATCTGCTCCCCCAATCCCTTCCCCTTCCCTATCCCCCCATGTCCCCAATCAACCATTGATCAGTTCTTATCTCTATGCATCTACTCCTCCTATGCTTCACTAACAGAAACAATAGAAAGCAAAAGCAAAATAAAATGACATCATGATAGTGTGAAGATCAAAGTACAAATCACAAGTAAGAAAGAAAAGACCACTATCAATATTTAAACAGCCAGGGAAGAAATGTTTTCTTTTTAACTTTGAAGGATGCACCGTACCATCTCCCACCGCGGTTGCACCATTTTACAATCCAAGTCGTGGATGAGAGTCCTCGTCTCTCCCCACGCTCTTCAGCATTTGTTGCGTTCTGTTTTTAACTTTGCTAGCCATGCAGGGGGAGATGAGATCTCGTGTTTCGGACTTGAAGCTTTCTGGTGGCTAATGATCGTGAGCATTTCATTATATTTGTTGGCTACCTCTCTAAGGGCTTTGTAGTCCCAGTTTCTAGTACCATGCCTGGCATCGTCGAGTGGGTACTCAAAAGCTAATCATTGAATTGAATGGAGAGCTATTTTTAAAATCAATATTGAAGTATGATTTCACAAAATTTAGTATACACATTTTAACTGCATAGTGTGACGAGTTTTGGCAAATGTATGCTCTATGTAACCACCAGTGCAATTAAGTTAGATAATATTTTCATCAACCTAGAAGGTTCTCCTATACCTCTCCCACTCCATCCCCTTCTTCCCTGTGTCCCCAGGCAACACTGAGCTTCTTTCTAATATTATGTTAGATTCAGTTTTTCCAAGGGTTTCATATCAGTGGAATCATATTCTATATACTCTTGTTTTTAAAAATGGTAAAATATATATAACAAAAAGTGTGCCATGTTAACTCCTTTTAGTGTAAATCTATGGACATTAATGACATTCACTGTGTTGCACTACCACTAACACTGACCATTTCCAAAAGTTCTCCACCCCCCAATAGAAACTCAGTACCCTTCATCAATAGCTCTCCTCTCTCTGCCCTCCCCACCCTGTTCCTGGTAACCAGGAATAAGCCTTTGCGTTGAATATGTATTTGCTTGTTGTACATATACAATTTATACTGCTATTTCTGGCTTCTTAAGACACTTTCATTTCTGGAATCGTGTTTTCCAGTAGTTTGCACTTTCTCATTTCTAGAAGTGTTCCTTTGGAGATCTTTTTAATAACTCTCAGAAAGGACCTGCCACTGTAGTTCTTACAGCAGTTCTAGGAAGGTGCTAAGAGATTTGGCGACATTTTCAATGTTCTATGACTGGCTCCCCTTACTATCTCTTATTGTTGTTCCCCCATCCTGGTTTGAAAGTCCAGATTGACATAAACTATTGGGGGAAAGACAGGCACATCAAATCAAATAGACATGAGTTCAAATTCAAGCTTCACCCCTTTCCTACTTGACTTGAAACTCTCTGTTGCTCGTCTACTCGCTTAAATGGCCTACCCACGTTTGTCTGGATGCCATGAATGTGAAAACTCTAGCATAGGGCTTGCCGCCGCAGGACAATGCACTGAGGCCGAAAGGCTTTCTTGTTTATTTCTCTTTGTACCCTCCCCAGCCTAGCCAGGCCAGACAACTGTGATCTGTCTCCACCACCACCCTCACATATGCAAAAACTCATGAAGGCGTTTTCCTGTGCTTCTCCCAACAGAGCCCTCTCCTATGGAGAGATTTAAGGAATTTCAGATCAAATCCTATCCTGTGCAGGACTTCAGTGCTTTGAAGCTTCTGCATCTCCAGAAAGCCCAGCAGAAACAGAGAACCAGTATCAGGCTGAATGAAACTTCGATGACTGATCTTCCAAAGACCTTTGGTTCAAAAATCATGTAAGCTCAGCTCTTGGCAGATAAAGCGGTGCTGATTCTGCCTGGGAAGGGGACTGTGACTTAAAGGACAGAATTCCAGGGGGCAGAGAGGGATGACCCAGGTCAAACTCAAAGGATAGGGTGTGGGCATAAGGCAGCCTGGAGATACCGTAGGTTTACCACTTGGGACCAGCCACAAACTCACAGAACCACTTTAAATCATCAGATGCTTCCTTTCTTAGGGCCTGAGCATCCCATTTGGGGAAGATAGGACTAGATGGATCTTCCAGCTCTGAAACACCGTCTGTATTTATCACCCCTTTTGACTCTGAGCTTCTTCAGAAAAGTCTACCCATCGAAGAGAGCCCAGTAGATAAGAGCCTAGGCGCTAGGATCACTCCAGCTCACATTCAAATCCTGACCTGGCACCTTATTTTAGTTCTCTGTCCTTGGGTTTGACTTCTTAGGTCTTAGTTTCCTAATCTGCAAGTAAGGAGCCTCTCGAGTCTCATGGCTGTTTCAAGCTGGCCATTAAACAGGACAGTGATAAGCACTGCTACCACTCGTGGAATACCTCCTCTGTGCCTCCTATGTAGCTTAATCCTCACAAGAATCCTGTGAGATCAATATTATTTTTTAAAAATTGTTTTATTGGCATATGCTTCACAGATCATACAATTGAATTAGTCATATTAGAAAGAGTTGTGCAATCAGCACCACAATCAATTTCAGAACATTTTCTTCTCATATTCATTGTTAGCTCCCCGTTTGCTCCATCATCCTCTGCTGTTTCCCTAGCGGCTTACTGTCTCTATAGATCTCCCTGTCCTGGGTTTCAAGAAAGCCAGGCAAAATAAAACAATCATACGAAATCATACAGAACAAACAAAAACAGCCACTAGACAAAGCATGAAAAACCTCTCTCAATGAGAAGGCAGAACATATTAAAAACGTAACTTTAAAATGATGAGGTATTGCATTTTAACGTAACTGCCTCTGCCCTAATCGACTATACAATGCTCTCTGTCTGGTAGCAAAGACATTCACAAACCTTGAGTGTGGTCAGAGGGGATTTACTGGAGACTTAATTCATAGGAGGAGCCTGCAAATGGATTTTGGGCTTCCACTGTCATCCATAGCCTTCTGCAAACTAGGTGTTCATAATTTAAGCTTTGATAACATTCCTTCCTTCGAATTTGGGTTTTATTATTTGCAATCCTTGAATCACATAAGCTAGTGTATTTTTATTTGGACATAGTTGATGCCTCACTTAGCTGCTTGTTTGAAGTCAAACCTTTTAAGACCCCAGACACTATTTATTCTTTCTTTTTTATTATTAATATATATATGTCATATCAGACACTATTATTTCTGATAGCTGGGCACCAGCTGGTTTCTTCACCACATTTTGCTAGAGCACCCATATCTTCAGTGATCTCTTCATGAGGGTGAGCATTAAGCAGGGGCCTATCACAGCGAAGAGCTGTTCTTAGATTTGGACTAGAATTAAATGTGAGCCCCAAATCCATTCCTATATCTATGGCTTATCTATGTCTCTGGTTCATTTTAGAGACATCATCAACATTTTATGATAGAGACCATTATGAATCAACCTTCTGAAGCATAACATAATTCTATCGATAGCATCATTAATTTAGCCATGGCATTGAATTGAAAACATGGTTGAGAAAAGGGAATTATACAAGTATAGGTCAGCTTCAGACTGCAATACATGAATTGTTGACTTAAATAGACTAAACTCATAAGTGACTGTTTACACACACAATAGAACTAGGTGATGGGGCAGAACTTCCAAGAGCACTCATTCAAAAAGGCAGAAGAAGCACATCTACTAGATGAATGTAAGCATCAGAAAGCATAAGAAAACAAGGAGGGCATTAAAATAATAAAGACCTGGTAGTCCCAAGCCAGTATGCATTTGACACCATTTGAACCCAAACCCAATGGCTGCCCATCCTTTAACTTTGGGAGTACAGTCATCTGCTCTACTTACACAAGGGAATTTGAGCCTTAAGTCCAAGAGTGTATGTCAGTTCCATAAATATGCTACAGGTGATTTGGAGGTGAAGCCCAGCTCCACGTCAAATCCTTCTGGTGTGGCCTATGAAGTGATGTTGAGTGGCTTGAAAGGCCAGAGTCTAAAGTCGCAGTCGTGTATCACATATGGCCTAGGTCACCCAGGGCTGGATAGAAACTAGGGCGAAAGTATCCAATAAGGGACGTAGTACCAGGCATCTTCTCCCCTTAGGATCTCTGTAAGTCTTGTTAAGCACTTTTTCCCAGTGGGAAGTTGCTCCTTCTGATTTGCCCACCAACAGTAATGTAATCGCCTTCTCTGAGACAGATAGGCTCCTCCCCCATCTTGAGTTGGCTTTCCAGGACGTTTTGCTTCTCATTCTTTTTATTATTATTATGATTATTACTTATCACTCTTGTAGGAGTATCTGCTGATTTGGAGTGAGAGCTAGGTACTATTATTTATTTATTACTTTTTCAACCTTTTTGGGGCACACAGTTTATATATCATACAACTGACTAATTCAATCGTTCAACTGTGTCCAGGGGAATTGTACAATCAGCCCTGCACCTATCTTAGAGCATTCCCCGAGCCAGGTCCTATTATTGACACTCCATTTCTCAAGAGAGAAAACCAAGATATGCTGAGAGATTAAGTATTTGCTCAAGGTCACACAGGTAGAAAGTGGCAGAGCCAGGAGTCACGCCCAGCAGCACATCAGTGCTCGGTCATGTTGTTTGGTATGACTGCCATGACTGGCTCGGAGCAGGTGCACGTAAAAGGCTGCTCTTTTGTCCTTCCTGGAGAGGCCGGGGAGCCGGAAAGGACACCCATTGGGACCAGTCTGGGGACAGCTCAGTGTTGAGGCCAAAGCAGCACGACCCCGTCTCATGAAATTTGAAGTGAAAATATCCTAATGATCCTAATAATAGCATCATTGTCTCCGTCCCCATGTGGTGCTAGTGCTCTCTGCCCATTGATATCATTGATAGTAGTGCTCTCTCTCTGTCCATTGATACCATTGATACTAGTGCTTTCTCTCTCTGTCCATTGATACCATTGATAGTAGTGCTCTCTCTCTGTCCATTGATACCATTGATACTAGTGCACTCTGCCCATTGATACCATTGATACTAGTGCTCTCTGTCCATTGATACCATTGATACTAGTGCTCTCTCTCTGTCCATTGATACCATTGATAGTAGTGCGCTCTCTCTGTCCATTGATACCATTGATAGTAGTGCTCTCTCTCTGTCCATTGATACTATTGATACTAGTGCTTTCTGCCCATTGACACCCGCCTCATAATGAGCATCTCAGGGCTTCCGAATTGTCTGTTTCCTCTGCTGGGGTATTATTTCTAAGGAATCCAGGGCTTGACAATGCAATTCCAGTTATTCTGAGCTGGAGTGAGAACAGACCTGGGGCCAAGTGTTTCTGTGTGACTCAGTAAAGGAGAGACCGGTTAGACCCAGAAGTGGAAAATAAAGGCCCACATCCCAATGGGGTGAGAATTAAGGTGAACGTCATCTATGAGTGAGTCCAGCTGCATGCTCAACCGATAAATAGTCCCGGACCCAGCCCTGCTCCAAATAGCTTCATTTCCCTCCCGGGACAGAGAGCAGAGAAGGCACCACAGAACACCTCCGACGTGAACAAAAGGACAGGAAGGAAGCCTGTTTGTAAAAATGATTGAACGACTTCCTCCTTCTCTCTGTCTTCCTGACAAGCATCTGCTGGGTACCTGAAGGCACAGACCTCAATCTTTGGCCGGGGAAAAAAAAGAAAAGAAAAGAAAAAAGTCTGTTCCGTTTGTATTTGAGATTCTCTTCTCTTGCTGAGCTTAATTCTGCTAGCCCGGACTTCTCACTTGTGGGACCAGTTGGCCATTCCCTTGGTGTGGTAACCCTTTCATATTAAAGGGCCATAGTCCCACCTTCTGGGGTTTCCTCCCTATTTAACCTCTCCAGTTCCTACCACAGTCAGGCTCTTCCAGGGCTTGATTTTGAACTTCCTCATTTTGTGGGGAGGTGCAAATTCTCTAAGGAGGGCAAGACGGTGGAAGGCATTACCTGGAACTAATAAGCAATTAGAGCAAGGTCGAAGGATGCAAGAGTGGGGGCTGCCTGTGTTACAGATGAGTGCTCTCTAACAAGCTGTCACATTGCAGATGTAAGAGTGATTATCCGGTTAGAAATCCGGTGATTGATCCCATAACTGGTCGGCTTGTCGAAGAGGCTTGTGTGGGGACCTACATGAAGATCCACAATGTGGAGCAAGGAGAAATTGTGGTAAGTGTGCATCCAGAGAGCCTTGGTCCTCATGTAGTGTGAAAAGGCTGGGGTGCTCAGGGATGAGAGTAAGGGTTTAGAAACACTCCTTCTCTCTCTTTGATCTAAAGAACATTCTTAATTTTTTTCAGATGTGCTAAAATGATATTGTGGTTATGTGTTTATAGAAGCGTGCTTACATTAGAAGCTACATATGAACATATTGGCAGACACAATGACATGATCTCAAGGATTTGCTTTAAAATAATTGAGGCCATCATTACCACTCAACGTTGTACTGCAAAGCCTAGGTAGTACATTCAGAAAATAAAAGCCATACAGATTGAGAAAAAAGAAATAAAAGTGCCTTTGTTTGCAAGTAACACAAATGTCTATATAGAAAACCCCTCAAAATTGACCAAAAAAGCTCCTGGAACTACTAAATGATACCGCAAGCTCGCAGGAGACAAAGTTCATATTTCAAAAGTCGATTGTTTTTCTCTAAACCAGCAGCAAACAAACAATTGGATTTCTAAATTAAAAATACAATATCATCTATGATCGCACAAAAGTGTAAATACGTAAGTACAGCATAAGTCTTATAAAATATGTATAGGACCCATTTGAAGATACTCACAAAGTGCTAAGAAATCACAGAAAATCTTATTAAATGAAGTTTCCCATGTTCATGCGTTAAAAACCCAATATTGTCATGATGGCAATTCTTCCCACCTTGTTCCTAGATTCAGTGACTGCCAATCAAAATCCTAACAAGCTACTCTGTGACTGCTGATAAACTGATTTCAAAGTTCACATGGAAGGTGGCGTGGGGACAAACTGTGTTACTGCCAAATCATAGCATATTCTTCAGCATAAAAAGGAATGAGCCCCAAAAGGCAGGGAGGAAACGTAAATGAATATAGCTGAGTGGAAGAAGCTCACCTGGAAAGGCTACCTCCGCATTCCACTCTGGGAGAAGCCAAACTAGAGAGACGACCAGTGGCTTCTAAGGTCTGGGTGTTCAGTCAGGGGTTGGGATGAAGCGGTAACATTCCGAGGACTTGGGGGAATGTAACTCTTTTCTGTCCACTGTCATGGTAGATACAAGACATTATGCCTGGTCAAAACCCGTAGTACCATATAGCACAAAAAGCTAACCTTAATGAATGTGACTTTGAAAAATAAATCAATCTCTCAGGAGGTTGATTTGGAGAATTTTAGGAATGAATGGAGACTGTAACAAGAGAATCTCTCTGCAACACAAATGTACAAAAGCTCTCACAGAAAGTGGAGAAAGAGAGGGATGCTGGCCTGAGTCACTTTGAGAATGAGTTGGGTCTGTGAGAGTAAGGGCGGAAGAGATGCAGTACGAGCATTGTGAGCTGGTTGATAAAACTGTGCCCACCGTGCATACAAGTTAGCAATTCTGATACTGTTACCCATACATTCCAGAAGAGATCAGTTAAACAAATGGATGACAGATGGTGGGAACCAGATAGCTCACTTTCGGAGTATAAATTCACAGATAAATTGGGGTAGGAAACTACAATGATTCATATGATAACAGATTCGTGTGAGAGGCATCAGCTTGAACCCATGTTTAGCTGAATATAGATACAGATTGTTACATATAGAAATGTTTGTGGATATGTGTGTGGAATGAACATGTGTGATTTTTGTTCCATCAGCTACGGGGGCCTTAAACAAATGACTTTCTAGTAACAAGGAGTACATCTAGGGCCCAGATCTTGGTTGCTAATACCAGTGTCCAAGAAACCAAACCAGGTTCCCCGAAGAAAAGGGTGATTCCAGGAAGGGGACAGAAAATACTCAAGATGAACTTGGAATAGTTTGTGGATCAGAAAGTAACATGTGCTCAACAAACAAACAAACATTGATGGGTGTGTGCCGAAAGGCCCAGGAAGCAACGAGAACACATGTGAGCAACAAAATCAGCTAGTGTTAGATATCACTCTCTCCACTCGCTGCCACCGAGGGCATGCTGTCAATGCTGATGCAAAGCCCTCTAGGGGTTCCAGAGACCGCCACTCTTCACAGGAGTCAAAAGCCTCCTCTTTGTCCCTAGAAGAATTGGGCTCTGCCCAAAGTATAAAAGAACCATGAGTCCATACTGACATGACTAAATTATTGAATACATTAATAAATTAGAGAGAAGAGACAATCTCCCATGCAAGAGTTCGAAATGGTTTCCAGAGCTACTCTGTCCTCAAGGAGAGGAAGCACGACTCGCTCCTCCATCGTGGCTTCTTTCCGAAGGGGGCAGTATAGAAGGGTCACGTTCCGGTGGGTGAACCTGACAAAACTCCCTCAGCCAGCTGTGTCAAGGTCAACACCAGCAGGCATGACTCATCTCATCAAGGGAATTCCAATAGAGGAATATCATTGGAATTGGCTCCATACACTTCCACCTAATTCACAATAAAACAGGTAATAAGTAAATAAGTCATGTTGGTAGTATGTACCCTTGATATGACATCCTAAGAATGGCCCTTTGCCTCTGTGATTTCCCCACCAATGACAACAGCCTCTAAGCCAGCGGTTCTCACAGGGGTCGCCTGATTCATAACAGTAGCAAAATGACAGTGATGAAGTAGCAACGAAAATAATGTTATGGTTGGGTAGGTCACCACCACATGAGCAACTGTATGAAAGGGTCGTGGCTTTAGGAAGTTTGAGAACCACTGCTCTAAGTCCAGTCTTTTTTTTTTAATAATCATTTTATCAGGGGCTCATACAACTCATCACAATCCGTACATACATCATTTGTGTCCAGCACATTAGCATATATGTTGACTTCATCATTCTCACAACACCTGCTTTCCATTGAATTCTTGGTGTCCGCTCCTCATTTTCCCTCCTGCCCCCTCTCCCCCCTCCCCCTGAATCCTTGATAATTTATAAATCATTATTATTTTATCACATTTTACCCCATCCAACATCTCCCTCACCCACTTCTCTGCTGTCTGTTCCCCAGGGAGGAGGCCATATGTAGACCTTGTCATCTGTTCCCTCTTTCTCCCTCACCCTCCCTCCACCCTCCCGATACTGCCACTCTCTCCACTGGTCCTGGGGGGGTTCATCTGTCCTGGGTTCACTGTATTTCCAGTTCCTATCTGTGCCAGTGTACATCCTCCGGTCCAGCCGGATATGTAAGGTAGAATTGGGATCATGATAGTGGGGTGGAGGAAGCATTTAAGAACTAGAGGAGGGGGGAAGGGAAGAAGA